GCGCCCTCGCCGGCCGCTCCTGGGCGCGGGGTGTAGCTGTAAGACTCGCGCCTGATGCTGGGCAGCGGCTCGGAACCCGCGGGCGCCCGGGGGCAGGGCGCGGACGCAAGTGCCCTGCAGGGCGAGGGGCGGCCGCGCGCGCCTGTGTCCGTGCGTGGAAGGCCGCCTGGGACTCCCGCCCGGGACGCTGGGCCGACCCAGTTCACCTTCAAGTCCACCTGCACCACTCTGACTTGCTTGGCCTGGGTGCTGGGACGGAGGGCAGGTGGGACGGAGGGCAGGGGCCCGCGGCCCGGAGTGAAATGCCAGCTCCGCTCGGCTGCCGTCTCCCTGGAAGTTGCTCTGCGCACCCCGCGCTTGAGCATCTCTCAGCACTTGGGATTCCTCTTGGGGTCCCTGATCTGCCTAATGCTGCAGAAAGAAGCAGCCGCAGGATAGAGAGCAGAAAATGACCGCGTCCTCCTCTAGCCCATCCCCTGCCACTTTGGCCATTACCTCCTCCGCTGGCTTGCCGAGCGCGCTGGAATCCGCAGCAAGGTAGGGGTGGGGGCGTCCGGGAGGTGTCCAGGTCCAGCTGGGTGGGTGCAGGGCAAAAAAGGAACTGAAAGACTTTCAAAGACCCTGTTGCTCGTTTGCTGTTGTGTACATGGCACTTCGTAGGTGAGGACCCAAGTTCAGAAGACTTGGTATCTTGCCCAGGGAGCAGGTCCGGTTAATGACTGCTATTTCCACAAGCCCAAAGCACTTTGACGTCAGAGTCTGGGCTGTTTGACTCCATTAAACTGCTGCTGCCTTTTTTGCCTTTTTCTGCATCCAGCCTTCAGTTGTTCTCTGCCGACTGAAGGAATAATAGGCCCGTAAACTGGACGTCAGCTACTTGGCTTCTTCTGTCCCTCGGGCCCTTGGCCCCTGACGTTGTTCTCCCCAGTGGATAAAGCAGGGTGAGGCTGGGAGACAGGTGACTGGACAAGATTCCTCCGCAGACCCCCAAGCCCCTCTCATCCTGACAGCATCCTCTGTCTTGAAGTGCCCCAGGTTTTCTGGGGGCCCCTTTCCACCACAACCTTGGGCCTCACTACCACAGGAAAGCATGTCATTTTCCCCAGAGGGCTTCTTACTGACTTTCAGTGTGTCTTTCTCCCACCTGTTCACTCAAGGTGCCCGAATTGCCCAGGACCCCCTGTCTCCGTCCGAGTGTCCTCCACCTTCAGGTGTGTCTGCCATAATGCTGCTGATGCACAGAGCTCTGGCCCCAGGGCTGCGACAAGCCTACAGGTAGGAAGGCCCACCCAGCCCCTTCTGCAGCTCTCAACTCCTTCCCCCAGTATCTTTATGACATTTTATCTGTCACATAAGATCTTTCTTTGATACTTGTCTCACCCACCCCAAACCCCAACTGAAGAAACCTTGGTCAGCCTGGGAGGAGTAGGCGTGAGGCCTTCCTGGGCCTTTCATGGGATGAGGGAGGGAGGGAAACGTCCTGCTAAGAGCACGGCTCTCTGCTCTTTCAGACTCAAGTTCACTGCCTCACAGCTCTGCATTCGAGCCTGCTCTACAAATGACTCATTTCAGTCCCGGCGTCCCAGCCTGGCTTTCGCTGGTGACAACTCCAGCACCAGGGGATGGAGAGTGGCAGGGGCCTTGCTAGGCCTCGGGGCGATGTTGGCCTATCATGACCACAGGTGCAAGGTAAGTGAGGGGGAAAGGGCCTCACTGAGACAAAGCGGTGCTTCCTGCTCGTGAGCCCATGTGAGCTGTCTTTGTGCACAGTCCAGAGGGATGAGGTGTCACTTCCCAGTGGCCACAGCTCTGTGGGTTGGGTCAGGGTGAGCTGGAATGATTTCTCCTTAGTCTGTTCCCTTTGCCTGCCCCCTGCTCTGTCTGCAGGCTGCACAGAAGTCACCACGTATATACACAAGAGAGGAAGTGAGTTCCCACCGCAGCCCTGAGACTAGAATCTGGGTGACTCTGGGTAATGAAGTCTTTGATGTCACAGAATTTGTGGAGCTACATCCTGGGGGGCCATCAAAGCTGATGCTGGCAGCCGGGGGGCCGCTAGAGCCCTTTTGGGCCCTCTATGCTGTTCACAACGAATCCCATGTGCGTGAGGTACTGGCTCAGTACAAGATCGGGGAGCTGAGCCCTGAGGATAAGGCGCCCCCCACCTTGAAGACCTCCGACCCCTATGCTAATGACCCTAAGCGGCACCCAGCCCTGAAGGTTAACAGCCAGCGCCCCTTTAATGCAGAGCCCCCTCCTGGGCTGTTAACTGACAACTACATCACACCCAACCCTATCTTCTTCACCCGGAACCATCTGCCCGTCCCTAATCTGGACCCAGCCACCTACCGCCTAAATGTGGTCGGGCCCTCTGGGCGCTCCCTGTCCCTGTCCCTGGGTGACTTGCGGCGTTTCCCCAAGCATGAGATCACAGCCACTGTGCAGTGTGCCGGCAACCGGCGTGCAGATATGACGCAGGTCAAAGAAGTAAAAGGCCTTGAGTGGAGAACAGGGGCCATCAGCACCGCGCGCTGGGCTGGAGCACGGCTCTCTGATGTGTTAGCCCGGGCTGGCCACCGGCCCTCGGAGTCTGAGGCCCACGTCTGCTTTGAGGGGCTGGACTCAGACCCCACCGGGGCTGCCTATGGAGCCTCCATCCCTCTGGCTCGGGCCATGGACCCTGAAGCGGAGGTCCTGCTGGCGTATGAGATGAATGGACAGCCGCTGCCTCGTGACCATGGCTTCCCGGTGCGGGTGGTGGTTCCTGGTGTGGTGGGTGCCCGCCATGTCAAATGGCTGGGCAAAGTGAGTGTGGAACCACAAGAAAGCTACAGCCACTGGCAGCGGCGGGATTACAAAGGCTTCTCCCCGTCTGTGGACTGGGACACGGTCGATTTTGACTCAGCTCCGGCCATCCAGGAACTTCCTGTCCAGTCGGCCATCACAGAGCCCCAGGAGGGGGAGACGGTAGAGTCAGGAGAGGTGACTGTCAAGGGCTATGCGTGGAGTGGTGGTGGGAGGGCTGTGGTCCGGGTGGACGTGTCTCTGGACGGGGGCCTCACTTGGCAGACAGCCGAGTTAGAGGGAGAGGAACAGCGTCCCCGCAAGGCCTGGGCCTGGCGGCTGTGGCAGCTGCAAGCCCCTGTGCCTGCTGGGAAAAAGGAATTGAACATTGTTTGCAAGGCTGTCGACGAGAGCTACAATGTGCAGCCAGACACGGTGGCCCCCATCTGGAACCTCCGAGGAGTGCTCAGCAACGCCTGGCACCGGGTTCGTGTCCATGTTGCCCCATGAGGTAAAATGGGACCATTTGCTCCCCAGAACCTGGGCTTGATTACCGCAGAAAACCCTCTCATTTCCCCTTCTCAGATCAGGACACTATGCCTCCCTGACCCTCACACAGGCACACACACAGCACATTTGCACCCAGGCACCTGCACTGCTTCCCCCACTATGTCACACACTCCGATGGCCGTTAACCCTGTAGTAGGCCGTTAGCTGTCAAGCAAGGGGCTGACAGAAGTACTCCTGGAGACAAGCACCGTTTTCTCTTCCTACCCCACCACCACTTCCAATGCCTGGAACCGCGAAGGCCTTATTTCTTTCTTGTATTCTTCAGAGAATGTGCGGGGATGTTTTTAAAATTGTATCTGCAACTTGCTGCTCCCTCTCTGGAACTCTGGGGTGGTGAGGGGTGCAGCCCTCTCTCTGTATAGCTCCATTTTTCTAAGTACATCAATAAAGTATCTGTTTAAGACTACAGCTGTGGGGAAAGACGATGACTTTTGGGACTTCTCGAGGTTGGCCGATGACCATGTTGCCAAAACAAAAGGTGGAGGAGGAGAAAGGAAGCGGTTGCAGCAAAGCCCAGAAGTGGGGCTCCCTTCTCGGAAGTCTGCCAAGCATCTGGGGCCCTGCTATGTGACTGCCCTCAGGATAGCACCCCAATCTCCCTCCCAGATAAAACATTTTGTGCCCTTAAGTCCCTCCCACCACCCCTCAATTCTTCGCACTTGGCAGAAAAAGCAGAGAATGCTGAGTTCAAAATCAATTTTGTTATCGGAGGGGCAGGGTGGGGGGCCAAACTCGGCCTTGGGGACGGCGCTACCAGGGCTCGGGGAGCCCCCAGCGTGCGCCCAGTTTGCAAATTCGATGCAGAAGGGGCCCCTCGGCTTTCGACGCGCCTTTCGGACTTGAGGCTTTCGGCGCTCGGCTACTCTCCCCTAGCTCTTCTCCCTGCTCTCCCCAGCAGTCTCCCCGGCTTGGGGGCGCTCGGTGCTCGGCCCAGCCGCCTGTCGCCTGGTAGTGGGACCGGAAGTTGTTCGAGGGAGGGGGGACGGCTGCGATGGGGGGGTTTCGCGGGGGGGGCCGGGCCCTCCTCAGGTGAGGCCGCTGATGGAGATGGAGCCGCCACCGCTGAGCGCCGGGGTACCGGCTCCGGCCCGGTTGCCGCCGCCCCAGTGACCCTACTCACCCCCCGCACTGGGCCGCCCGGGCCAGAGTGGGGGACCCCCGCCGCCCCGCCCTCCTCTCCCCCAACACCTTCCCACTCCCTCACCCCCCAGCTTGCGCGCGCGCGGAGCTGCCTCAGGTGAGTGAGGGGCGGGGCTTGGGCGAAGCGCAGGGGGCGGGGCCTCGCTCGTCGGGGGCGGGGCCTGGTGGGCCTGGGCGTGAAGCGAGTGGAGTCGTGGGCGTGGGGCGCCGCGAACGGGGTCGCCCGGTGGGCTGCGGCCGGAAGCCAGCCCGGGGGCTCGGCTCCAGGCCCCAGGGTTGCGGGGAAGGTAGTTGGGACCGGGGCGTCGCAAAAAGGCGGGAGACAGGTCAGGACAGGAGCAGACAGGCTGGAGCAGCGTGCGGGAGGCCGTCGCGGTGGGTACGGCTGGCAGAAGAGGGGAGAAAGCAGAAGGGGGGGCGGTCCTTGGACGAGAAAATGAAGGACCCTGGGGGTTCGCGAGAAAGGCCTGCTGGGAAGATCTGTCTAGGATGCCGTGAGCCGAGTAGGTGGTAGAGAAGAAACTTTGGGTGAAGTGGAAAAAGTGCTGTCTGGGGTACTTTCTAGCGAGAAGTTTAAAGAACCCGAGAAGCAAGGCTGACAGCTGACCAGCTGACCAGCTGACCGCGTCTGGTCCTGAGAGCCAGGCAGTGGCAGGAAGGCGAGGCGTGCCGGGTCAGGAGGCGAGTCCTAGCTGATGGCCTTCGCGCCTCCGCAGCCCCCCTCAGTTTTCTTCCTCTTGTCTTCTAGCTGCAGGTTCTCGTTTTTTAAATTTTCATTTGATTGCTGTGCTTTCTTTTTAAACGTCTTAACGAATCCTGTCTGAGCACAGTGGAACATCTACTGGAACACAGAGCTTTAGATATGAGATGTTCAGGAAATAAGGACCCATTTTTCCCCCTCTGAGGTCAACCCTGTACTGACTCTGCATCCAGAGCAACTGGGGGCATTACCGCCATATCGAGTCAAGTTTTGCAAACCTTTCCCCTCCCTCTCTTCTATAAGCAAAACTCTCCACTGTGACTGTTCCCCAAGCCCGGTGGCCCAGTCCCCATCAGAGTCACCGCTGGCTGACGTGTCCGCTCTAGGCCTCATCGTCGTCATGAGGGCAAGCCTGGCAGAGGGTGTTTATTGTTAGTTGCTCACTTTGCCTGGGCAAAGGTACATGTTCATACCCCTAGGGCACATTAAAAACAAGTGCCTGATTGCATGGAATTTCCATATCGGATGCTCAGATTCTGAGGACAAGACCAAATACAAGACCACACCTGTAGGTTTTGAAAGTGAGATCCTATTGTTTGGTCAGGCAATGCGAGATGACCCCTTGTCTCAGGGGTCTGCCGATCAGTCAGTGAATCTTGCTCTGGAAGCAATAAGCTTCACGAGCAGGAAGCTTCAAGGGGCTTCAGCCTTCCCCACTGACAGCCAAAAGCCAGAGAACCCAGACAGCTCCCTGGGTCATGAGAACTGTCTGAAGAGTGCTCCTGAGATAAAAATAAAGTCTGAAAAGAAGAAAATAGCCTTACCCCAGGAAAGCAGGAGAGGTCCAGAGCTTCTGGAGTGGGCCCCCAGCGGCGGGAGCGGCCCTGATTTAGCCACTTCGGAATTACGTATTGCCTGAGTCCACAGACACTGCACAAGCACGAAACATAACGCCTTTGTGAGCCGGCGAGTGTGTGGATTCCCACTGTAGCTTCTGGGCAGTCCCTCCTCGCAGTAGGTTAAGGGATTTGGCTCAAAAATAAGTGCTAACATTTTCCCAGTGAAAACGCAATGGAAGTTTCCTTGGTTATTTCCTCTTAGTTCAAATCTGCAACGTCTGCTTCCCAGCATAGCAGGGGCATTATCCCACTTCATACTGTAGCCCACCACCCCAATCCACATGGGGATTTTTTTTTTAAGATTTTTTTTTTCGTGCATACAAGCCCGGTAGCCCAATCCCCAATCCCCTGGGTACAGGCCAGAGGTGCAGGCAGCAGGAGGGTTCACCAGAGACAGGCAGAAACAAAGGACATGGCTGAGGGGAGCAGCGGGCGGGTCAGGAGAGGTCTGCCGCGCCCTCCCTGCCCGAGGAATGAGCACGAACCGTAGTGGCAGCAGCCGGCTTCACGGTGCTGCGCTTGAACCCGTTGCACCACCAGGGAGGGCCCCAACAGCAATTATTTGCTCAAAGTGTCCATTTCTTTTCCCAACACACAAACAAAGTAGCCAGGGAGAAACAAAGGACGTGGGACAGGCGCTTCCAGCCTCCCTTCACGCTGGGGGAATAACGTATAGGTCCCGCAGGAGCAGACAGACGGTGCTACTCACAGGGACTCCGCTTCTCCCTTGGTCTCTTTACTCTGCAGTGAAAGCTCTGAATTCCAGGTGGTTTGATCTAGTCTCCTCTCCGAAGAGTTGTAAACTCTGTATTGGAAACAGGTTCACGGTTTATTCAGTCAGAGTGTGAGAAGGCTAGCCTGCTGTGCCGGCCTGGCTCCCCACTGGGGGTAGCATCAGCGTGTAGATTCTGCTGTGGTACATGTGCTGGCCTAATCCTTGAGCCACAGAGCCTCCACCCCCCTTCCACCTTAAACAGATTTAGTGAGCAGGCATTTCCCTCAGGCTCATCATCTATAGAAAGAGACAGGGGAGTAAAGATTATTCCTTCTTCTATTCATCAACCTGTGTTTCTAGTTCAAGGATTTAAATAACTAAGATACAGACCCCAAAACTGTTCATTTCCTTACTCAAGAAAGGGAGGCAAGCAGGGTGGCCCCAAAACTTCCAGCTGTGACAAGATTTCACTTTGTGCTACAGTAGAAAGAAGCCCAGGCTGGTAACCTGGATTCTGCTTGTCCTACTTCAGTCTCAGCCACAAGGGTGAGTCCGAGCAGAGCTTCTTCTATTCAGAATCAGAAGACAAGATCGTTTCTCTGCGCCACCCTCGCTCCAAGATTCCCAAGATCCAAGAACACCCCTGTCTCAGGCCCACAAAGAGAAGCTTACTAAATTGATTGTCAGAATAACATTCTTTGTTAGCAGAGGAGCCTGGAAACATCTTTCTGGCCCAAACAACAGTAGGCTCTTTTGATCGGCATGCATTAGCAACTTCTGGCCAGGACTTCCCCCAAAGGCAGTTGTTCCTATTTCTTCTGCCTTTTTGCCACCCAGCCCAGTCAGAATAGCTGAGGCATCCATATCATGGCAAACTTCACTTGAAAGAGCTAGCCCTGTTTGAGGCATATTTGGCTTCAAAAGTGATTACTGAGAAACTCCCGGCTCTGCTTTTGCCTCCCTCAACCATATGAATAGCAGGGATCTTGCAGGTCTTTTCTATAAACAGGGGACTTGTGTCCTCAAGGGTGAACCCGGAAGCCCAGACCTGTCATCTAGTCGCATCGCACCAAGTGATGTGACTTTGGTCTGGCCTCCGCCTTAGCTCCGTAAGCCCCAAAGTGGGACACGGAGGGCCTGAACTATTTCTCTTCCCACCCACAAACCTGAGCTTCTCTCTCTTCCACAGACTACATGGAACAAGCCACAAAGAACAAGAGAAAAGATACATCCCTCTGAGATCTAAAAGGAGACAGTGAGGTGATACTTTTCCACTTCCTGGCCCTGTCTCCAGCTCTTGCCCTTCTTACTTTAGAGACTGGCCATTCCTAGGGTCACCTGGGGATTCACCCCCTCTGCCTGCCCCCCACGCACTTGGATAATGAAGTGAGCTGTCTTTGTCTGTTAGGTGGAGACAGAAGGTCACCATCTACCACCTGGTGAAAAAATGAGTCAGATCTATCTGCTGTACAGACAGACACATGAACTAAGAAAAGGTTACGTGTTTCCTTCAGAGGGGACCAGGTTGACCCTAAAGATCATCTCAGAACCACATCTTACTTGATGCCAAAGTCTGTTTCCTGGAACAGTGTCTGCAGCAGCTACAGACATGCCTGATTCTTCCTCCCGCCTCAACCACTCGCCTCTTTCTCCTCCCAATGATGTCAAACCCTGGTAGAAAGTAGAGCCAGCTCTGGAATTCCAACATGTTTTTTGCTCTGATTCTATTCATTTCAGGGAGGCACAGACAGGAGAGTCGTTGAGGGTTTGGTTTACCTGTAATAGCAGAACGGCTCACTCCCGGGGCAGAGGGAAGGTCTGACTGACACATTCTCCCGGGGCTCCTGCTCAGATCCTGAGCCTAAAGGAGACCAGAGAAGAAATGTCTCCCTCTCCCTGTTACGGTGTGGGAATAATAACCAAGATGATGGCGTGGGCCCTTGCCACTGTCTCGGCCTCTGCCTCTTTCCCAAGAACATCACCTCACGACCTTCCCCCCTGCTACGCCCCACGGAGTGTGGCCCAGTGTCACTGCTCAGCCAGGACTGTGGGAAGGGTGTGAAGAACTCTGACTAGGCATGGCGCCCGCTTGCTTCAAGTGTTCGAGCCACTATGTAGAGAAAACTTGACTGACGTTTTTGTCGCTAGTAATACGGTGGTCTGGGAAAGTTCGTTTGGAGCTAGCGGGTTTGGGGTGGCGGCCTGGCCTGCCCCGATTGGTCCCCCTTGCTGCTTCTCAGAAAGCGCGCTGGGAAATCTCTCCACCGGGGATGCCCATTTCTGTTCGAGGTGATAGTGTGCTGATGCGGAAAACAGGTCCCTGGGGGGTCTCTTGTCATGTTTCCCAGTGGATTCAAAAGAGCAAAGGAGAAAATCGTTGTCTCCAGAGGTTACGGTGGCCAACCTTTCCTCCCTCCTCACAGATACTTCCTTCTGCATTGAGAAGCGAGCTCTTCTAGCCGCCTCCATCACTGCGTGCCGTGCCGTATGCGTCGCTATAGAACCAGTTTCCTTCCAGGTCTTTGAGCCAGACCCGTCCTGTATAGCTAACTTCTCTGTTCTCATACCACCCCCTCCCCCGTGGGGCGTCTGCAGCTGGCACTGCTGAATTTGACCCAGTTCCTCTAAGGAGACACTCCGGTCTGCCTGGCTGCCTCTGCCTGGCCTGCTCGGCAGGGGAGGAGGCACTTTGCTGGGTGGGAGCGGGAAGCCTGGGCCAGGTGCAGCCAGGAGGTGAGACCAGGACCTGTGAGGTGCAGCTGCCCCGCCATCAGGATAGCCCGAGGGCGCAGCGGAACCTCAGTCCCTCTCACTGCCGGGGTTACCTACTTGGCGTTTAGATCAGTTGGAGGCAGCTAAAGACTCCTTTGCCCAAGACGGTCGAGGAGCACTGTTAGGGCAATTACGAAGCAGGAGAGCTCAGTTACTGGTTGCACCGAAGTGCAACTCAGAAAACATCTCTTTTGGGCCCTTTTGGAACTTGTTTTGGGGCTATCTGAGCAGGGGCGGAGAAGGGGACACCAGAGCCAGCTGAGCGCGGCCCTTCACTGCCGCCCACCTACTGCTTGCTTAGCCTGTGCGTGTGCACGCACGCACGCTCGCAGAGACACACGTTAGCATCTTGCTCCCTGTAGAGCTTGTTACGCCTGTTCTTCCTTTAAAGTAACAGACCCCAGGTGGCCTCTCTAGGGGTTAACACTCAGAGCTATCACCAAGTGGGCCTGAGTCCATCCCAGCCAGGGACTGACCCCCAGGGCACCGCAGACCCCTCCTGGCTCCCGCTGCCCCCTCAGCAGTGTGTTTCAGTGGATCCGCCTGTTCTGCTCCCCACTCTGCCTCTGGTAAAGCCTCTCACCCCCTGTACCTCTGGCCTGTACCCAGTTCTTGTGTGCATCAATAAATCTTTTTCCAAAAAAAAGATGATTTACTAGACACACAGCTCTCCTCTTATCATGAGCCTGCGATAAGTCACTAACAGCCCTGAGTCGGTCCCTCCAAGCAGGAAATGGGGGAATCCTGCTCGTTCTGCAGGTCCTGCACTTGTGGTTGAGGGAAGTCATGTGTGGCATTTTGAGCTTCGCAGTAGTTTTGAAAAATCCCAGAGGGCGATTATACAGCTAATGAGTTGGAAATGAAAGGCCCCCTGAGAGCAAGACTACTCTCTCCACACTGGATCTCTGACCACTGCGAGTTCCGTGGCCAGTCACAGAGGGTTATGAGTTCACTAGCCCCTGCGGACTTGGGCTCTTGTAAGCATTGGCCCTAAGGGAACGTTCAAGGAGCCACTTATTACTGTGGCTTGGCCTAGCAGACTGGTCATGAAGCTTAGCCCAGGGCAGTGGGGTTGCCATGGAAAGAAGAATGAGAATTTTTGCTCCTACACTCAGGCCTCCTAGGGAAATAGGGTTGAGACTAGCAGTCTCTCTGATGAAGCACAAGGAACTGGTTTGCCAAGGAGAACCTGCTTCAAGCTTTATCCTGAGACCTTTTGTTTTTTAGATTTATTTATTTATTTATGCATACAGAACTTGGGGTACAGGCCAGAGGTGCGGGGGCGGTATGAGGATTCACTCTGTCCCCAGAGACAGTGGAGAGCAGAACAGGCAGATCCACGAAGTACACTGCTGAGGGGAGCAGCGGGGAGACAGGAGAGGGCTGCTGCGCCCTGTGGGTCAACTCGGGGGCGGGGATCAAACTCCTGAAGAGGCTGGCTGTGGCTGGTTTGCAGTGCTGCGTCCTAACCCGTTGTGCCACCAGGCAGGGCCCTACCCTGAGACCTTTTAAAGACTGTGATGTCACCCACTAGACAAGAATGAAGGAGTGGTGAAGAGACAGGGTAACAGCGCTTCCCCTGTGTGTCCCCCCAAACCTCCCATCTCTGCCTGTCCACTAGAATATTACCAGCAAGCCAAACTTCTGCCCGCTGGCCTGCCTCCTGGAGAGCTTTCAAAGAGACTGAGAATCTGGCAGCAGCTCAGGCTGTTCCTTGCTTCTCAAAATCTGCCTCTGGCGTCTGTGTTTTTCACTCAATGACTGGTGAAAGTAATTTTGGATGTGTGTAAATTTCCAGCAAAGAGACTTTCTTCCCCCCCCCCCCCACAAGTTCCTTAGGAGGTAATTCATTGCAACAAATTATCACTTTTAATTGTTCTCAGTTCTTGATTAAGTAGAAATTGCCCTTGCCTTCTCTCAAACAAACTAACCTGCATTTTAAATTCAGCTCCCTCCCTTCACACTAATAAATAAACAAACAAACATAGCAAAATAATTGACCAGAAAGTGGGAAGCCATTTAAAGGTTTAACTTGTTTATTACGCCGTTAGTGAGGACTCATCCCTGAGCCCTGAGGTGGGCTGCTCTCCTCTATCACCTTCCCTGTCACCCTCCCTCCTGCCACACACCCCACGAGGATCACTTGAATGACTGCATCTGGACTTTGTCCTCTGATGCTTTCCCCATCCCGAACACGACATAGAGAAGCCGCTCCAGGGCTGTGTCTTCGCTCCTGCGGACTAAGATGCGATTGGTCTTCTTTTCTCCAGCATCAGCTCTACCTGCAGGGGGATGTCTGGGAAACACAACACACCCAGCACCACTGGGTGTTTCCACCCTAGAGGATGGAGAAGCCTGCAGACCTTGTGTGTTGGTGGGGCCTCCCTGGTGGTGCAGGGGTGAAGCCCAGCGCGGTGAAGCTGTCAGCAGCCACTGTGGCACAAGTTTGATTCCCCCACCAGGGAGGTGACCCACAGGGAGCAGCAGACTCTCCTGTCTAGCAGAGTATTTCAGTTAGTCTGCCTGTTCTGCTCTGGGGGATCTGGTGAATCCTCTCACCCCTACACCCCAGCGTTTGTGTGTATAAATAAGTAAATCTTTTGAAAAAAGAAAAAGAAGTAGCTGTGGGTCGGAGCCCCTGGAGTCTAAGCTGGGGACACTGCCTTTCTCACTAGGACAGCGTCTATGGGCAGAATATGTGGTCTTCCGGCTAACTCCAGAATGTTAGAGAGAAACTTCCAGAACTGGCTTCTCATAGCAGCTCTCTTCTCCTCAGCAGGTTCCTCTAAGATGGACATGGAAGACTGCAATGGCCGCTCCTATATGTCTGGTACGCCCTCTTGTGCCTTCTGTTTGTAAGGGGCTGGGAGCAGACAGTCTCCTGTGGAGCTGGACAGGAGACTTCAACCGAGCACGGGCCTCTGTGTGCCCTGGTCACAGCAGTGACACCCATGCTTGGTGGTGTGCATGTTGGGGGCCATTTTACGTTCTCTAAGCAATGGTGTTCTTCCCAGATGTCTCAGAGGGCAGGGGAAGGGGAGGGGTGGGGGGCAGTACAGCTGGAGACCTTAAACAGAGAGTGACTTGAAGGGAAGAGATGGATGTTAGACGTGGTTGTTACTCCTGTGCCCAGAAGTCTCCAACTGGACACAACTTTCTGTCCCAGCCAGGTCGAGTAGAGCGACCTGGGTTAGGATGGTGAGCATGAGAGAGCATGAGAATGAGCAGGGGTGAAGACCCAGGCCCTGCCTCAGGGAAGAGTCGCTCTTCAGTGTCCACCCGTTACCGCCCTCAGGAATGTGTAGCCAGCATCCCAAAACTTTCAGTTTTCCAAGAGAAATCAGAAACTCGTTCTTATGTGAAATGTTTCTCTTTAAAAATGACAGCTCAATGTTTCTCAAAAGTGTTGCACAGGGCAAGCTAAGCTTGACTAGGGGCTGGATCCAGGCAGCCCAGCTCGCCTTTCTCCCGATGCGTGTCCCTGACGGTAATGTCCGCAGGTTTCATTCTCCCCAAGCACTCTTTTGAGGCAGAAGACATCATTGCTTATAGTAAGAATGACTTGAGAGATATGAGAGTCACCCTACGTTAACAGGTAAAGAGGAACCACAAACCCTTTTGGAGGGTGTACGAAGCAGCCTAAGACGGCTTGCCTCTAGGATGCAGGGAATCACTTTTGGCACCATTGGGATGCCAGGGCAGGAAATTACTCTCAGAAGTGAGGGGAGCCAGAATTGGCTTGGCGCAACGAGTAGCCCCATCAGAAACCCAGGCCCCGGGGCTCCGTGGTGGCCTAAGGGGTAAGTCTCAGCGCTGTCACCTCTATGGCCTGAGTTTGATCTGCAGGGAGCCCACATGTGGATCGGAAGGCCTCTCCCGTCTCCCCGTGGCCTGTTCTGTTCCCGCTATGTGAATTCTCTCACCCCCTGCACCTCTGGCCTACACCCCAGTTCTTCTGTGCAAAACCAAATTAAGACAAAAAGAAAAGAAACCCAGGCCCCATTGTAGGAATGACCAATAGCTTATTTCTCACCCTAATGTCAGAGCAGTGGAGGAATCATGAGAGATGACAGGATGATAGGCAGGCATGCGAGACATTGGCCACACCTGAGCGGTTAACTCATTCCAGGAAAGAGCTGAATGGGTGAAGGTATTTGCTCTCTGCCACACACTGGTCAAAGTGTGGGGATCAAGCGGGCTGATTTAATTGAGTCATTAGAATTAGTCATGGCTCTTTTGAGGAGCCACCACCCTCCTGTCTCTTAACCAGCGAAGCCTGTTCAGGAAGCCACTGCTGAGCAGTTCCTACCCTCAGCCCCCGGTCTGTGTTGGAGGAACACTCCGGGGAAAGACAGTCCCGCCCAAGGCAGAATCCAGGGAGATGGCACCCTTTTCAGTTCCCTCTGGAAAATGTTGGATGATAGAGGAAATTTTCTGGGGGGGGTTGCATCACTGTGCTGTAAGGTCCAGTTTTCCCTGCTCATAGCAGACTCACTTTTCCTAGACAAGAACAGCCCTCTGTGCTTGGATTCTGAGTGAAAGTAGAGGCCAGAAACCCCCTCATCCGTAGTTTAAGATTTCTAGAAGCCAACCACTGCCGTAGGGAAAAAGAGTAAGTCAACACAGAGCTAACATTAGCTCAGAAAGGTACCAAGGCAGAGACTGTCTACCTGAGGAGCCGCTGAAGGCCCTTCACTGACATCTCCCATGGGCTGACTTGAGGTGTTGGGAAGAGCACCCCTCAGAGACGCCCAGCCCTCTGGGGTGCTGCCACCCCGCCTCTCCCTTCACACCAGGTGGCCTTCCCTGGCCTGGTCCCCTGCAAAGAGGCATCTGACTCCTTTTCCTCAGATTTTCCACCTCACAGATCCCAACTTAGTTCACATTTTCTCCCCTATCTTTGTCTAAAGGTACAGGTACAGCCCACCCAGGTGTGGGGGGAGAAGTGAAGGAGCGCATTAGTTTACCTCACAGATTGGCTCCCCTCCTCCATTCTCTATCTTTTGAGGAAAAAGAAGTTGCTTAAACCCAGTTCCTGCGGATCATTGCTGAGCAGTGCTTGTGCCAAGTGTGGAGACTGAAAGGTTTAAGGGAACTTTAGCAGAACGGGATCCTGGGGTAGGCAGCCCAAAGTTTCACGGCCCCTCCCACCCCCAAATTCTTGGAATCAGAGAATCTCGCCTCCCAAAGTAGGTCAGCGCTCAGTGGGCAGCTCCTCTGCGAGCGAGCGAGGGAGCCCAGGCCTTGCCTCGCCAGAGGGCGGATTCATCCAGCGCTGCGGGCTGCCGGCCCGGGGCCCCCGCGGGAGCGGGCGTGGGGAGAGCACCCCGGCTTGTTCCCGGGCTGTGGCAGGCCCGGCCCGAGAGCCACACTGGCCGGCCGCCGGCTGCGGGAGGGACAGGGACGGCGACCTCGCTCGGCGCAGGAAGGGGCCGCGGGCGCCGGGCTCGGCGGGGAGGGGCTTCTCCCGACGTGGGAGCCGGAGGCGGCCGGGGCCGGCCGTGACCTCTGGGGCCTTGGCTTCCCAGCTGCCCGAGGATTGGGCCGTCCCCTGGGCCCCGCTCGCCCCCGCCCGCGGCCCATCCGTCTCTCGCCGGCACACGCTCCTGCCCCTCTCAGGCATTTGTTGTGCATTTCCTCTTTGTCTGCCGGGCACGAGGGCACCGGCGTCTGCCTCCTCGCCGAGGCGCACGGCCGCCCCAGCCCTGCGCCGGCTTGGGAGAGGGCTGCAGCCCCGCACCCGCCCCGCGCCGGCCCACACCCCCTCCAGCCGCCTCCCGGCACGGCCGAGCGGCTCGGGCTGGAGCTGAGCGGCGCGCGTCGCCCCTGCTCGCTCTCCACGCTCCCTCCTCTCCCGCGCCTCGCCGCGCCTCGCCTCTCCCGCGCCTCTCCTCGCCTCTCCTCTCCTCGCCCTCGCCCTCCGCCTTCCCCTCCCTCCCTCCCGCTCTCCGCTCGCGCACACGCGCACACTCACACACACTCACACGCGCTCACACGCGCCGGGCTGCGCTCCCCTCGCTGGCTGCAGCCGGTGGGCCCCGCTCGCCGTGCCATTGCCGCTGCCTGCGAAATGACGGCGGTTCCCCTCACTTCCAGGAATCCGCGCTTCCTGGAAGGTGAGTGGCTGGGCTCACCCCTGCCTGCCACCGAGACGCAGACATGCACACACCACCCGCACTCCCTCGCCGCCGTTTCCAAGGAGGCGGCCGCATTCGCACCCCAGGGTCTCACCGGCGAGGGAAGGATAATGTAAGTTCAGGCAGAGGTGGCCAGTGGGGGGACGGGGCTGCCGGGGCCGGGAACCGATTCAGCCACAACTCCCGAGCCCCAGGGGAGGATGGGGCCGCGCGCGGCGGGGGAGGGGGCGTTCCTCCCTCGCTCCGGAGGGTGGGAAAGGGTGTTTGGTGTTGCTAAGCAAACGCTGCGACTTGGACAGTGGGAGCCGGCGGTGACATCTTGATGAGGCCTTGGGGACAGATGTAGAGCCGCCTGGGGTAAAATGCGAGACAGGCCCGGGTGGGAAGGGGCACTGGAGAGCCCGGGCAGCCGCCGTGGCCGCAGATGCCGGACCTGGAGAGGATCAGAGGGCCGCCGCCGCCTCCCCACAATAGAGCCGATGGGCGTCTTTCTTTGCTCCCGGACACTCTCCCCTGCTCGCCGCTAGCATCCTGCGCCGCGCAGCCCTGGTCCAGAAAGGGAAAGCGGCTAGGACCAGCCCTGGCCGAGGAGTGGGAGGTTCCCCGACCTCGTGGCCAGCCCCAGGGGCCCCTCTTGCGGGATCCAGGCAGGGCAGCAGAGGCAGAGGGGGCAGGCGCCAGCCTCCTGCGCACGTGAAGCACACTGGGCTGGCGGCGCGGGTCTCCCTGGCCCCTTTCTCTCCCTCCGGCTGTCTGCCCTCCCCACCTCCTAGTGGCTCTGCTGAGGACCTCAGGGCTTAGCTTTGCCCTCGGGGGTGTAGCCCGCCTCTGATGCCATTAACCAAGAAAATTTCTCCAAGACCTCAGGGCGGCCTCGATGCCTGGCTTTGACAGCGTGGGGTTTCTTGGGAGTCCCAGGAATTTGAAATTCCCTCACTGGGGCTTCTGGGGCCTGAGACAGGAACTGTTGAGCTTCCTGACTCTGACTCCAGTCCCTGTCCCCCTCTGGCTAGAACTCCAAATCCCTAGGGCCCGGGAAGACGGTCTGGCCCCTGAATTGGATTCATTTGTATGGACTAGCTCCCTGAAAGGGCCTTTGAGCCTGTTTTCCCTCTTACCTTTATCCTAGGGAGGGCAGCCGCAACCAAGAGCCCAGTGAACTGCCGGCAAGGCCCTGGAGGCACCTGCTTTTCCTCCTGTTCCAGGGCTTGATAGGGAGCCCCACAAAGGATGCTCCCCCCCCCATCCCTAAATAGACCCTTCAGGATATTTCCCCCCTCGGTCAAGCCCCTGACACCTGGAAGGAGCCTCAGCCTTGCAGGTTGGGGCCAGTGACGGGTTTCTGCCAAGCTCACTCATCCTCCTAGGGCCAGAGACGCAGGGCCCTGAGTCCTGCTCTGCCCCCTCCACTAACATCAAGTGATTTAGGGCAAGTCAGCACTGACCTGGGAAGGAAAGAAGACATCCTCAGCCCTCTAACCTCTGTGAACCCTACACTTAGTGAAAAATTATTTTAGAGCCGAGCCTGTCTGTACACAGCTCACCCTCAGCCCTGAGAGGCTCACCTGATGATGACTATGTGATTCAGATTCGAGGCGCCGTTTTTAGGTAACCCTGACTCATCTGAGTGGGGAAATTCAGTTACAAACCGTAAGACTTTTTCTATAGACAGTGAACAAAATTTCTCAGGCTGTGAGGGGCTAGCAGGGGCTAGAAGTGGGACTTTTAGGAGAGGATATGGATGGGAAATGGTCCCAAAGTCCTGAGTGGTTGTTTTCTTCCCACTGACCAAAGCTGGAGAGGGATCCCTCAGGAGGGTGTGTTCCGGATTTCTTGCCTCAGGCCCAAGACTCCAACCATTTTATAATGGAATCTTTATTTTGTGAAAGTAAGTATGTACATAGCTGGGAAATTGGGGAAAGCGCGAACTAGGTGGACTTTAGGGATGGATTTTAGGGTTTGTCTCTCTCTTCCATATGTAGGCCTGTGTGCACACATCCATGCATGTTCACGTTAGCAGACAATGTAGAAGGCTGTGCTGTGTCTATCCTAGTAGGTATGTTCTCTTTATGTGTATCTGCATACGTGATCTGTGTCTGTTTGTGTTTATCTACATGTGTTTATTTCACCTATATATTTGTGTGGAAGATTGTGGGGAGAAGGGATTTTTTTTAGGACATGATTCCTATCTTCAGGTATGTGATCTGATTTTTAAAAACGTATATGAACCTCTCAAAAAGCATTTTTATGAAGTACTTTGTCAACAAGTTAAAATGACTGTGTTGAGAAGAAGCTGATCACTTTAGTGTCGAGGTCAGAGCACGTAGTAAGGTGTATGGCTGAAAGGCCATCAGATGGACGCATCCTAGCGTGGAGTAGTCAGGTTTTAGCTAATTTGAGAAGACAGTGGCCCCAGCTCTCCCCTCGTGAAACAGCGACCCCAACTGCGTGTGCAGGTGGCGGTTAAGGACACGGATGCCGGCTGCTTCTGATCACATCCTGGCTCCCCCCGCTCCCTGCCACCACTCTGTGACCTTGGACAAGCGAACTAGCCCCTTGTGTCCCTCAGTTTGCTCATCTGCAAAGTTAAGATAGTCCTGGCAGGCCCCACGTAAGGTTACTTTGAGGAATAAATGACAAAATTTGTCTAATACATAGCACGATGCTGGCACATGGTGGCCTTCAGCGCTCTCCTGCATAAGTCACCGTGAGCGTGCCCATCGTGAGTTCTGGACGCTGCCATTGTCATGCTGTGACTACCATTAGGCTCGGGGACGTTCCGAGCTGCCCGTCCTGCAGGTCCCGAACCCGGTGTTGGGGTTCCAGGAGGAGCAGTGGGGGAGAACGTCTGCCCCGAGCCGCCTCCCTCCCGAGGCCCCCGTTTTCCCCTCCGCCCCAGCCCTGCTTCCTGTGGACGTCAGGCAGTGATGCTCTTCCCCTCAGGCCAGATAAAGGTAGGGTGGGAAGGCCCTGCACAGAGCTCTCGGAAGTCAGCACCGGCACCAGGCTGGCGAGGGCACAGGTACGGTGCCAGCTTGCCACACCGCTGTACCTGACGACCACATAAAGGATTGTGAAACTTAACTGACTTTTGAGGAGATTAGGTAGCGGACAGTGAATGGCGCCAGCGGCAGCTTCACCCGCCCTCTTGTTCTCTCCTCAAGGTAGCGGGGACTCATCTCTGGAGAAGGAGTTCCTTGGGGCCCCAGTGGGGCCCTCAGTGAGCACCCCCAACAGCCAGCACTCTTCTCCCAGCCGCTCGCTCAGTGGTAAGTGCAACCGCCTACCTTCCCCTGCACTCGGCACCCCCATTGTGTGGGGCCCTGGATTCCCCTTCCACTGGCAGCCATCTTCCCACCACGGCCTCCCTCCCGTGTCCAGCTCAAAGTCGCTAAAAGCGCTAAGGAGCTCGGCGTCGAGCATGCGCCCAGCTCCCGAAAGGAGAGGGACTGGTCACTGCCAGCCTAGGGTGGGATGGAAAGCAGCCGGGAGGAGCTGAGCCAGAGCTCGACAGATAACTTCTGGGATTGGAGAAGCAAGTAGACAGGACGGCCCTTGGCTCAGTGAGTGGGGATGGGAAGGGTCTCCTCACCCCGCCCGCCGGCCCAGAGAGGCTGCCCCTGTCAGCCGGCCTGGGTCTGACATTCTCTAAATGGTTGGAATAGCCCGGAATGTAGGTCAGAGCAGAGCCAAAGCCTCTCCTCAGCGGCCCCTCCCCCTGGAGCCCCCACTCCAGATCTTGAGGGGAGTGGAGGGACCAGCCTTACGGGTGGAGGACGAGAGCGCGTCTGGCCTCCAGGTTCCCTTGCCCTGTCGTCGGCTGCCTCCCGGGTCTTCCTAGCACCGTGTTCCCGCCACTGCCCCTTGCTGGCTTCCTGCCCAGGCCAGGCCAGACATCTTTCTTAATGACAAGGAAGTGGAGAAAAAGGGCCCCCTTGGCCTCTTCTTCGCCTCAGTGACAGCAGACACGCTGTGTACCCCGTTTGTGCTCCTGAGGCCTAGCTGCCAGGCGGGCTGGTACGAGGAAGAGGTCGTTTCAGGCCCTGCCGGGAGCCTCGTACCACCACGCCACAGGCCGGGCGCTGGCTTCTCCTAAAGCCTGGATGTCCCAGGGCCCTCTCGGCTCCAGGAGCCACTCCGGCGTGCAGGCAGGCCCCTCTCCTGTCTCTCGCCTAAACAGCACCCCACCCTCTAGCCAACTCCATCAAGGTGGAGATGTACAGCGATGAGGAGTCGAGCAGGCTGCTGGGGCCCGACGAGCGGCTCCTGGAGAAGGACGACAGCGTGATCGTGGAGGACTCGCTGTCCGAGCCCCTGGGCTACTGCGACGGGAGCGGGCCCGAGCCCCACTCCCCCGGGGGCATCCGGCTGCCCAACGGCAAGCTCAAATGCGACGTCTGCGGCATGGTCTGTATCGGGCCCAACGTGCTCATGGTGCACAAGCGCAGCCACACGGGTGAGTAGTGGCCGCGGGGCAGCGGCTCTGGGGCCAGGCAGCGCTGAGAGGCCTGCTGAGAGCGGTAGCCTGAGGGAAGCCCAGCACCTGCCCAGCTGGTGAGAAAAGGGGGAGGTGCTGGGGTCTGGACTTCCTGGCATCGCCTCCGCTGGTGGTGAGGAAGAAAAGCTGCTGGTTTTCTCAGGAGGGGAAGGTGTTGCGGCCGCGAGGGCCATCTATATGTCCAGCAGCGGGCGCCTCCTGGCTCCTTAACCAAGGGGTGGGGACAGAGGCCTTCTCCTCAATTCCTCAGGCGCTGGGCTCGCGGGCGAGGGGGGCCTGGGCTTTGGTCAGTGTGCGGGGCCTGCTGCCTCTCGCCTGGGCCAGGCCGCCCCGGGGTAGGAGAGCTCCCAAGGCATCGCCAGAAAGCAGGACGGGTGGAGGCGCCGCCCTGGCCTCAGAAGTGTGCTCCAAGCTCCTTTCCTGGGGCGGGGGGCGGGCTCGGCTTTGCAAGCCCCTTACCCTTCCCGGGGGCACCGGCCCTCCACCGCAGGGGAAAGGCCTTTCCATTGCAACCAGTGCGGCGCCTCCTTCACGCAGAAGGGGAACCTGCTGCGCCACATCAAGCTGCACTCCGGGGAGAAGCCCTTCAAGTGTCCCTTCTGCAACTACGCCTGCCGCCGTCGGGACGCGCTCACCGGCCACCTCCGCACACACTCCGGTCAGTGGCCTGTTGGGGGGACGGGGGGCGGGGGGCAGCGCACCCAGTAAGTACTGCTCTGTGAGGGCAGGGCCTGTGTCTGCCCTGAGGAAGACCAGGCACTCACCGAGGGGGCCTGCCTCTAGGGGGCTCTTTGACAGGGTGGGGGGGCACTATACCCGCTGCAAAAGGAGTCTGGGTGACGGTCTTGGCTTTAGCATTCACCTTCCCTGACTGGTTTTTAAAGTTTAGGCTTATGCCAGAGCCATCTGTGCCCCGTGACCCCCACTTCTGCACCCCAAGAAAGCCCCTCCTTCCCCGCCATCTGCTCCAGGTCCCACACCTGTCACCATCGCCTCCTGCGGCACGGAGACCTCCTTTCCTTACTCTAGTTACTGTAAGTCTCCAAGAAGCTCCTAGGCTGAAAGAAGGGAAGCCAGGGAGGAAAGAGTACCCCCTCCCGGCTCCTCATCCCAAGGGGTCACCTTCTCAGAGGCCAGAGCTAGTCTAGAGGGTGCCGGAAGTCGGGGTTTGAACCAGGGCCAGGGAACTGAACCAGCCAGTTTTTCTAGGCCAGCCAAGTCCGAGCCAACATCTGTCTGAATCAGCTGGACAGATAGCACTTTTGAAGCACTTTACTAAATTTTAAGTTTTTTGGTTTGGACTTGGGAAGAAGCCAGGCGCTGAGCTGGCTGGAAGAGGGAGCTCAAGATGGAGAAAGACAGGAAGGGCAGCGGAGAAGGCGCTGGTGGGACCTGACCTTAGAAACTTGCTGCTTTTCCTTTGCTAAACTTTCCTGAACCGGGACTTAAGAGACAGAACAAGCGCCGTCTCTTCGGGCAGCTCAGCACCCTCTAGTTTTTCTAGATTGTGGAGACGGGAACTTTTTATCTCTGTATGTGGAGAAACAGAAAAAAGTCATCATTGATTCATGCTTTAGAATCTACAAAGGGCGTCCCTTGGTGGATTAAGTCTCAGCACTGTCACCCCGGCAGCCTGAGTCAGTCTCCAGCCAGGGAGAGACCCCCAGGGCTCAGCAGCCCTCTCCAGTCTCCCCGCTGCTCCCCTCAGCAGTGGGTTTCAGTCCATCTGCCTGCTCTGCTCCCCACTCTGTCTCTGGTGAGTCCTCTCACACACACCCCACCTGAACCCCAGTTCTTCTACGCAAAAATAATAAAAAACCAAAATAGAATCGACAAAACATTTCACTTGTGTCTCCTTAACAATTCTAACAACTCTAAGGTAGATGTCACATCATCCCTCGTGTGCAGACAGGAAACTGGAGCTCCAGAAAAAGACGTGTCCGTCACGGAGCTATTTTGCAGCCTTCCGGAACCCCGTCAAGGTCTAGTCTAGAGAGTCCTGCTCTTTTTCTTCACAGGGCAGCTCATCTGTTGGTTTGGAGCAAGTGACTTGATGTAGAATTCTTGCCGACTGTGAGGCAGCTAGGTAGTCTGTGGGTGCCGTTCCGTAGGTGACTGGGGCAGAAGCAGGCCCAGATGCATCGGGTCTCGTCTCAGCTCGATGCTTTCTACATCTGCTCTGTGCTTCTTACAGCCACTCCAGGGGAAATAGGGGTTGGAGAAAAAAGTTCCTCTCCCAGATGCTGAGCCCTTGGCCCAGGAGACGGGTGAGCGCGCTGCGAGCCCCGGGGGCCTGGCCGGAGCCTGGGCGGTAGGCCATGGGCTCGCGGTAGGCCATGGGCTCGCGGTAGGCCATGGGCTCGCGGTAGGCGCATGGGCTCGCGGTAGGCGCATGGGCTCGCGGTAGGC